TGTCCTTCACGATGCATGACTGAATCATACTCGCATCTTCTAGCTCTGGGAATTCAATCTACGATCAATTCCCAAGGCTGCTGACATTTTCTTACATTAATTGCACTGTCTGCCACGTCACTGGCAATCCATCTGCCTGAATCTCAATGCTGCAATGAAGCACAGCTTCACCCACTTGTGGGTGGACATCCTTCCTTCTTAAGAGCCTACACAGCACCTGATCATGTTTTATAAGGAAAAAAGTATGATTATCTGCTAGTGACAAGTGCTTGCCTCATTTATAACAAATCTGGCTCCAAAACTCCTCTTGAACCATAATAACAATTTCAATGCCGCATCACTGTGTACTTTTCTGAGACGTTTTAATTCGGGATTCAAATTTAGCTAAAATTCAACTGCTATGGTACTATAAAGTGCAAATAACTCAATTACAGTGTCCAGGGAATGGCAAGATGTCTTCTACACTGGGCAGGGTCAGGTGATAATAACCAATAATAACCTATTCCTCTGCTTAGGGGTGGACAAGATGCTTTTTTAAAAACATTTTTTTTTACTTTAAGTTCTGGGATACACATAGAGAACATGCAGGTTTGTTACACAAGTATACATGTGCCATGGTGGTATGCTGCACCCACTGACCCATCCTCTAAGTTCCCTCCCCTCACTCCCCACACCCCAACGGGCCCTGGTATATGCCCCTCCCTGTGTCAGTGTGTTCTCATTGTTCAACTCCCACTTATAAGTGAGAACATGTGGTGTTTGGTTTCCTGCTCCTGTGTTAGTTTGCTGAGGATGATGGCTTCCAGCTCCATCCATGTCCTATCTCTTTCCTTTTTATGTGGCAAGGTGCACTGGACATCAACTGATAGAAGTATCCCAATTTTAAAACTGTTGAAGTGCGAACAAATCCATGACTTAAAATTGAAGAAATATGGTATTTCAATCTTAATAGTAATAATTGTTTCTACAGAGAATGAGGAAGAATCAAAGACTTTTGAGTAAGAAGAAAAAAATAACTGCAGATGTAGACGAACTCAAAAAACAAGTGACAATAGGAGGTTGTTTTTTGTTTTGTTTTAAATTTCACCAGGCAAGGCTGGTGAAGATGCCTGGTCTATTCATGCATGGCCTGAGAGAGTAATTGCTACAACTGTTTTAGAAAGCAACATGGTTATTTACTCACATAACCATGTGTGTAAATCATACCACTGCACTTTAGGCTGGGCAGCAGAGCAAAACTATCTCAAAAAAAAAAAAAAAGAAAAAGAGAGAATTTGAAGTATAATGACACATGGCTACATGTTTCGTAAGGGATAAATGTGAGGTATCAGATTTCATGTATTCCTTGACCAAAACTACATAAACATGTAACACAATAGTTATATTCATGATGCATTTAGGATTGAATTAAAAATTATATATTCCCAACTGTCTAAAATGTTATACCTTTATAATCATAATATAAAAATGATGCTTTTTCCTTCTAAAGGTAGTTGCAGAATTTCACTGACTTGTTTAGTAAGACTTAGACTCCAACCTGAATTTCCTGGTAATGGTAGTTTATTCACCTTACGTTTTGTATTCTTTTATGGCATGGTCAGTCAGTTGCCGCCATGGGATACAGGAGAAGTTCAGGAAAAAAATTTATTACACTCAAAGGTCCCCAAGACAGGAACAGCAGGCAGGCCACAAAGGGCCACGTGGAAAGACACTGGGGTGGTCAGGAGACAGAAGACAAGGGGTGAGCTTAGGCCAGAGCCTTTCCTGGGGTTTCCATGCGCAGGGCAAGGCAGGGCAGGGCAGGGCAGGGCAGGGCAGGGGAAACAGTGAACAACTGATGACTGACTAGTTTGAATAACTCCAGCTGGCTCTAAGCTACACAGGTGGTCCCTAGTTGTCTGGTACCTGGCCCTGGAATGATTTAGGGCAGAGGAACATTGCACCCAGAGGTGCCTGGACCAGACAGAGGAGATTTGGCTCTGGATTAGTTAATTTGCTTATGAAAAGCAAGCTTCTGGACTATCCTGCTACACAGAATCTTTTTCCTACTCTCAGAATTGGCTAGACCCAGAAGGGGCAGTCTTTTCCCAGCCAGGATGGCTTTTAAAAAAAAACCAAACAGAACCTAATAATATACAGAAAATAAAATGTATATGAAAATGTATCTTAGCTCCCATGTAAACATACACCAGAGCATACCATAATGACAGGACTTCAGAGAGAAACTACCAAGGCTGCTATCCTTCAGCAATCACCATTGACTTCCATTTAAGTGAAGCTGTGTTAGCATAGTTCCTAAGGACAGAACTGTGCTCCCTGAAGAGGCATGTGCAGGTTTACAGAAATAGCATGGATTCTGGAGTCTAGCAGATCTGGCATTTACTAGCAATGTGACTTCACAGAAGTTATTTTACCTTTGTATGATTTGGTTTCTTCACGTGTAAAGTGGGAATCATCACACATATCTCCCAAGGATTAGGTAACATCAAGTATGTGCTTAGCCCTGGCACAGTGCCTGGCTTAAAGATGGTACCAGTCAGTCGTCAGGTTCAAGTACTGCTGAAAAAGAGAGGGACCTCTTCCCTTCCCTTCCATTCTATTCCTGCAAAATCACCTTTTCTCTCTTTGTAATTAAATATGTTATAGAATTAAAACACATAGGAGTAAATAAAAAGAAGGCAAAAGAAACAGAAAGGAAATTAATAAGAAGCTGTCATGAAAAGGGAAAGATAATAAAACCAGAAAAGGCAAAATACAGAAAGAGAACACTCAGTAAAAAGAATCCCATTATTCTCTTGACTGAAAAATTGTTAAAATACTGACTGCTCCTTACTGCTGTCACAACTAAATCCTGATTCCTTCTCTTTCCAAATTTTTCCACCCACCCATCTTTCCGTTACCAGTGAAGACTGAGCGGCAACACACCTCAATGTACCTGAAATATACATTACACACATCCTGTCTCAGTGCCTTTGATTAACAGCCCCCTCATCTGAGATGTCCCCTGGAATCTCTACTACCCAATACTTGCAGACATAATGGTGGAAGGAGGAGAGAAACCCCTAAGATCTTACTGGTGAGAGCGTAAAATAGTACAACCACATAAAAAAGAAGTTTGGCAGCATCTTCATAGACACAGTTACCATAGTACCCAGCAATTCCAATCCTAGGTAGGTCCCCAGGAAAGATGAAACAGTATGTCCACACAGACTTGTCTACAAAGACTCCACAGCAACATAATTCATAATAGCCTGAAGTGGAAACGATCTACACACCTATCATCCAGTGAATGAATGAAGCAAAATGTGGTATATACCTCCAACGGGACACTAATTGTGCAATAAAAAGGATGCACCTCAAATACAACACAAGTAAAAGAAGCCAGCTGCGAAAGACAACATACTGAATGATTTCATTCACATGAAATGTCTGTAAGAGGCAAACTGATCCAGAAAGAAAGTAGATCCGTGGTTGCCTGGGGCTGGGGGTAAGAATAAGAACTGACTACAAATAGGCACAGGAGATCCTTGCGGGGTGACAAATTCCAACACTGGATTTTAGTATGATTACGCAAGTCTGTAAATTTTTATTAAAATCATTAAATTGTACATTTAACATTAGTGATTTTTATAGTATATAAATTATACCTCAATAAGGCTCTTGAAAAAAACCTTAACAGATAAAACAGCCATTCAGAGGGGCGTTTAAGGGTCCTACACCATGAAGGCATGAAACACTACACAGCTTATATGGTAGAGGGGTACCCATGCTGGCATCCTTGACTCTGTTATTCACTTATGCCTTGGGGCCTGGGATGCCAGCAGAGTCTTCCACCCTAAAGCCAGTGAAGTGACTGCTACTTGGCTCACTGCCATCCCATTCGCCTCAAAGTGCCAAGTGGGAGAGCTGAGATGCCCGAATCTGGGGCTTAAGTGCAGGTAATTTAGGTAACACGTAGTATTTTTCCATAGCAAACCCCTCACATGGTCTAGCCTGACCAAGCCCAGGGTGGACATAGCAGTCATTCTGAAAACTGAATTCAGGAACAATCAAATGAACAAGTAAGAGTCAGGCTGATTTTGACAGCCTAGAGACTTCAGGCCATTTGAGAAAGAGGAAAAAGGAGAAAAGGACTGGGTACAGAGTCTCTGTTGCAACAAAAATAAGAACATCTGCTAAGCATATTGCTAAAAGGTATTTCGAAGGGAGTGTTAAACATGCTTCAGAAACACCCACTGGAAGCACCTACTGATACCCAAGGATAGATATTCTAAATGTAATTCATTCTTACTGAGTCATTAGAGGAAGCCAATAACATCTCAAACTGCAAACCAAATTTAAATTGCCTTCCCTCCTTTATTTTAACATAGTTATGACTGAATTTCCTTATAAAGGTTAAATATTCCTAACAACTCTACTGAAGGAGTCATGTTTTCTATCATATTCATGGAAATTCTCTATTTTAATTCTGCAAATTTTAATAAACAAATATCTGATCTCATAGTAATTGTTTCTAAATTTGCACATCTCACATCAGCTACCACACTCTAAATATCCGCATTCTAGACTTCATTATTTGAGGATTGATGACTGAAGGGCCCCACCACAGAAAACATTTATTGAAATCATCCACTGGGAAAGATTAGGGCAATTTTGGAGGCAAAACCAAAAAAGACTTTCTAAGCACTCTCTAAGCTACTTTATATTCAAACAACATGCTAATTATCAGAAATCTTATTTAAAAACACTACTGTTTAATTTGAAATTACTGAAAATGGTTTCTTTTCATAAGGTTCTACAATTTCTAATTAGCTTTTCATTCACTTGGACAAACAACCTCTTTTTACATCCTTATTTTTACATTATTACATATCTAACTAAATATTTAATATATTTTAGTATGATAACACTAACATGAATACTAATAAATCAAGCCTCTAGTAAGTAGTGGCTCTCAAACTTTTGGATCACAGGACCCCTTTACACTCATAAATAAATTACTGATGTGCCAGAGAGCCTGAGCCTGACCCAAAGTAAATTCCCAGGAGACATCTTTCCTGGGTTTTGAATTTGCCGAAACAGGCATGAGCATTTTCGCAGCAGTTTGGTGATCATGCATGATACTGCAAACAGGACCAAAAAAATTACTGAGGACCTAAAGACCCTTTTGCTTACTGTAGGTTATATCTATATTTTCTGTATTGGAAATTAAAACTGAGAAAATTTTAAAATATTACCTCATTTTAAGAAATAAGAAACTCATTACATGTTGATATGCATCTTTTTAAAAAATTAAACATGTCTTTAAAAAAAATTAAACTATTTTTAAAAAATTAGTGAAACAGGTAGTGCTGCTTTATACTATGTGACACTCCTCAGATAACAGTGGTCATTTTCCTTTGATACTTTATCAAGAGTCAACAAGCAATAGGAGTCTCTTAATGGTAAGCCGGAATGCAGAATCTGAAACCATATCAATGAATGTTTCCAATTCTGCTACATTAAAATCCATTGCTCTAACACAATATCAAATTACATTTGTCAATATCAAGATGGATCTCATCAGAAAAGTCTTAAGTTCACTAAGGTAGACACAAAGTTCCTAATATTCTAAGTTTCATTTGAAAGCCCAAATTTTATCTTTGGCAGCAAATAATGTCATTTGTCTTCCTTGATGTGATAGACTCATGTATGCATTTTCAAAGTGTACTCTATTACTCTAGGTTGTAATAAAATTCATGAAGGACTTTTTTTTTTTTTTACAACTGCATGAATTTTAGCAGCACAGCCACTGCTCTGATTCATACTAAAGCAGTACTTACTACCCCACTGGTTTTGTACCATCCATGTGAATGTAAGCAGAATGCAAAAGGCAAATCATGTCTCAGTATTATGACAAAAATAGTTTTGATCTTGTCAACCCATTAAAATGATATTGAGGAACTCCCTAGGGGTTAACAGGCAACATTTTGAAAACTACTCTGTTACCACATAACTGATCCCCAACCACCATCCATTACTAGAAGGCAACCACCAATTCAGAAAAGGAAAATGACTGTGATGGCTTTTTCGGACTGTCCATGTGTATTACTGATCCAACATCCATTAATGTAAGTAGAAGGCTACATCTACTATCCACATTTCTGTTTTTTTAGAACAGGGTCTTGCTCTGTCACTCAGGCTGGAATGCAGGGACACAATCACAGCTCAGTGCAACCTCGACCTCCTGGGCTCAAGCTATCCTCCCGCCTCAGCCTCCTGAGTAGCTCAGACTACAGGTATGCACCACCACACCTGGCTAATTTTGTATTTTTCGTAGACAGGGTTTCACTATATAGCCCAGGCTAGTCTCAAACTCCTGAGTTCAAGAAAGCCCCCTGACTCACTCAGCCTCCCAAAGTGCTGGGATTACAGGCATGTGTCATAATACTGTGCCTGGCCTACTATCCAAATTTGAATATGGAAGCACAAAAAAATGAAATCTAGTTATCATGGAAGGATAAAAGAAACAAAACAAACTAATTTAATATGCAAATTTCCTTCCAAGGAATCTAAAACATAAATTTTCCTTTAATTCATCCATTTGTTCTCACATCTGTTGGGCTTTTTTGTGTAAGGTTCTTGCTTGGTATACAGATACAAAGAGGCTTAGGTTGACAGATCCTGTGGCCAGGATCCACAAGGGATTAATAAGCAATGAGGAAACGGAACAGAGGTATTAAAGTCACAAAGATCTGATGTCAAGGCCCAGGTATCCACCCCACAAACCTGTCTATGAGCCATTTTTTCCTAGTTGGAGCTGAAGCAAATTCTATCTAAAACTTGGAGGATGAGATGAAATGTACATAAAGCATTTAGCACAGCTCCTAGCACAGAGCAAGCATGCAATAAATGGAAGCCACTCTATGAATAAGGGCCCATGAAGCGGTCAAGAGTCCAGAGGAGGGGGGACACCTTCAAATAATCATGACACAGCATGGGAAGTGATTACCAAATGCAATAAGAAATCAATGGCCTGCTTAAATGGGGAAGGTTCTATGATAGAGGAGCCATTGTGTCATGGAACAGAAGGAGCTGGCCCAGTACTACAGGGAGAAAGGAGCAGAAAGTCCATCTAGACAAACAGAAGGTGGGGCACAGACTAGGCAGGTGGAGCAACAGGGGTTTGGCGGACACAAGAGGAAGCTACCTTGGAACCAGGTTGCTTAGGGCCTTTAATGCCATGCTAAGGGGCACAGACATTTAAAAGTTTTTTAAAAATTGTGTAAAGGCTGAGGAATCATAAACTCACAGTACTACCAGGTTATCTGGTCTCCTGGTGATCCTCGAATCCTTCAGCACACACACATTATACTTATGCCTATTCTGACCCATTAGCATTCCCCTGGCCCAAGCCTGACTAGCACAGAAGGAGTGGCAAAGCTCCTCTCAAAGGCTCTGTCTGGAACATAAGCAAAGCTGCAGCAGTCAGAAGAATTTGCCCATCATTTTAAAGCACAAATGAAGTATATACTGGTCAAAGCCATTCTGTATCCTCTCTGATGCTTACAAAATCTTGAACCATGTAACTTTATCTTCCCAGCTCTAGGTCCTGTACTCCAATAGAATTTATAAGTTGCTTTGTTGCATGGAGAAGAAACAGAAAGAGGGTACAGCGCCCCATGTTTTCCATGACGACTCCAGCCATCTGTAAATGAGTGAAGCCCAAAGAGGCTGCCTGTCCCTCTTGCCCTTTGGCAGGGACAGAGAATGTCACCCGGATACACCATGTGGATGCATAAGGCTGGCATGAGGACAGCCCACAGGTGTGAGTCTGCGCTCCCTTGGCAATTCTGCAAAAGCGCGTGAAGGTGCACCCAGTGTAAATCCACAGCCAGCTATGCTGCACTGTGCTCACCTAGAAATGTGACCATTCAGACACAAACCACAGAAATCACAGCAATGTCTTACTCACCCAGAATTTTACGAGGAAGAAGGCATTTTGAGGGCCCTTTCCAAATAGTTCCTTTAAGCCACCTTTCTTTTCAGGAAATTTGTCATAAATCTGACGAATGTCCACTGATTCAAGCAATGGGTCACTGTAAGAATGGTTGGCATGCCCAATGTGCACGAAGAGGTGTTTGTTGTACTGTAAGAAACCAACAGAAACATTCCCATTACAAACCCTTTGATCAACCTGGGACTCATCCATCTTGAACTAGATAAAGAGCAGTAGTACCAAAATTCTATAATTAGGCCTTCCAGCCTAGGGTCAATGCTTTTGAAATGATGAGTATATTTAGAAAAGCCATTATAGCGCAGGATTGAGACAAACATTGCCTTTTACTGACAAGGACATATATTTTCCCAAATACCTAAAAAAAAAAAAAAAAAAAAAAAGGCTTTTTACAGACACATTAGTAAGAACAGCTTAAGTTGCTCAGCTACCAAACCAAGAAACAGTTACATTACCCAATTTCACCTGACTCAACTGAAAATGACAGTGATACTCTTCGGAGCCCAATAAGAAATCTGTGTGCAGTTAGCTCATGTCATAACCCAGAGTGCACTTCTTGTCCCAGCTCTCCCAGGACAGTGTAGATACAGTAGTCTGAGCATTGGTACCCACTTCCTTCTTCCAGCAGGAGTAAGAGTGTAGAGTCTCTTTGTCACCAGTCCCCTTACTAACCAATCCAAAGCTACTACATAAGGGCTGCTCAGTATGTGTCTGTCAGTGCAAAGTTAGGATTGGGGTATAGATCACAGAGAAGATCTACAAGGCCATACGTGGCTGGTGAAAAAGAACATTCGTCACTCATTCATGGAAAAAAAAAAGCAAACCCTAAACAATGTTAAATCATTTCACTTACAAAGCAAACCCTTTTCTTCCCCTTGCTTTGGGATAAGACATGGTAAGTGGGCCACAAAGGAGTGTGTCCAAACCAATGATTCTCAACCCAGGCTACATCAGAATAACCACGGAGCATTTAAACACCACAAAGGCCTGGGCACAATCTAGATTAAACTGGAGTCTCTGAGAATGAGGCCAAACATCAGTAATTTTTAAAGCTTCTTCAGTGAATTCCAGTACAGAGCCAAATTTGAGAACCACTGGTCTAGATGCTATACTCCAGACCCTTCAGGCCTGCCTCTCCCACTGAGTAGGCAGTAACACCAACTTAACGTGACACATACCAAGACGCCTGGGGTCTCACGGGATCTACAGGTCTCAGAACCAAACAGGGTTCAATGAGAAACTCCATCTGCCTTCTTTATCTAGCAGTCCAAGTCTGCTCACATTCCAAGTTAAAACTGGCAACGCTCCAACTACTGTCCTGCATACTGATCTATTCCACAGGAAGTCCCAAGTAACAGAAGGCTTGGGTAAAGGAGAGTACTATATATGGGTTAATATACAGTCTGTGGAATCTAATCATTGGGGCCTGCTTTTAAAAAAAAAAAAAAATATGTGGTCTGGACTCGTCCTGCTCAAGCATAAAACACTGAGCCCAAATTAGCTATGATACTGGGCAAGTGCCTCTCAAATCTCTAAAATGGGGACAGTGATGGCATTCACTTCACTGGATTGTTACATGGTTTAAATGAGATACTTCACAGACATCACCAGGGATCCAAGATCCAACAAAGAATAAGCACTCAATAAATTCTAGCTATTATTGTTTAAGACTTCTTCTCTTTGAGATTCACCATAATAAACATATTAAAAACAGTGCCATTGACTGGGCATAGTGGCTCATGCCTTTAATGTCAGCACTTTGGAAGGTCGAGGAGGGAGAATCATTTGAGCTCAGGAGTTTGACACCTGACTAGACAACACAGTGAGACCTCATCGCTACCAGGAAAAAAAAAAAAAAAAAATTAACCAGGTGTGGTGATGCATGACCATAGTCCCAGCTACTTGGGAGGCTGAGGCAGGAGGATCACTTGAGCCTGGAAGATCGAAGGTGCAATAAACTGATCATGCCACTGCACTCCAGCCTGAGCAACAAAGTAAGACCTTGCCTCTTAAAAAAAAAAGGGGGGGGGGCACTTCCTTAAAGAAACATTGTTTCACATATAATTTCTAGTTTCTCAAACTCAGTTGGTCACAAAACCCTATGAAATACATCCTGAAGGAGTGCTGTTTTAAATCTATAACCTGCTACCCGCCGTTGTGGATCTCTGGCCATTCTGCCCACAATGCCAAAAGACAGGAGGCTGAACACTCCATCTGATGCCAATGCTGCATACAGGGGCAGTGCAACTGGGGCCAGTATCTTTTGGAAGAGGGCCAGGCTCCTCTCCTGTTCAACATCAGAGTTGTATCTTTTCCAAAGCTTCAAACATCCTAAAAGTTATCAGGTGGAGTGAAAAAGAGGACCCTCTCAGGCTCTGACATGGATGCAGCTGTATGGACTAGCTGCCTGGCAGATTTTAGGTAATACCTGACAGAAGCTGGGAGATACTATAAAACAACAGGGTATGCCTGAGCAGGAAGTTATTTTTAAAAAGGTTAAAAGTAAAAGCAGGGCCGGGTGCGGTGGCTCATGCCTGTAATCCCAGCACTTTGGGAGCCCGAGGCGGGTGGATCACCTGAGGTCAGGAGTTGAAGACCAGCCTGGCCAATATGGCGAAACCCCATCTCTACTAAAAATACAAAAAATCAGCTGGACATAGTGGCAGACACCTGTAATCCCAGCTACTTGGGAGGCTGAGGCAGGAGAATTGCTTGAACCTGGGAGGCAGAGGTTGCAGTGAGCCAAGATCATGCCATTGCACTCTGGCCTGGACAACAAAAGCGAAACTCCATCTCAAAAAAAAAAAAGGCAGAAGTAGGAAGTTAAAATGGTTAAAAGTAAAAGCCATTGTGTTAGGGAGGTGAGATAATGGGGGTGGTAAGAGGTGGGATTATAAGGGTAGGAGTATCTTTGAGCTTTTTATATATTTTCTCAAATGTTGCCACATCACTTTTTCAATTATAAACAACAGCCCATGGAAATGTACGAGGCACAGTCAGCTGCTAAGCAGCTTCTAGTCTTTCTAATCTCAGTGGGCAAAAGGAAAAAAAATAACACGGGCAAAGGTGTGAGCACAGATGCTGGTATAAAGGCAATCAGAGACAGAGAGTGGAATGTGGAGTACTGGGCAAAAGGCATTGTTTCTTCATTACTGAGACAACTGGCTGTGTTCTATCCATCCCATCCTGATTAATCACCTCTGCTTGCAGCTAGCTCTCAGACCTCCCCCGTTCTGGGAGGCACCCTTCTGTCCGTTCTAGTGCCCTCTGCAGGGAGTGAGTTTATGGGAGGCATGGGTCACAACCTTTGGGGACCCACTGAGCTGAATCCCAGTCTCCCTTTAGGCTCCTCACTCTCAGCTGTTCTGCCTCGCTAACTGCCCCGGGCCACCCCAGAGCTGGGGTGAAGTTAAGAAGCTGGAAAACTTGAAGTTTTTGTGCTTAACATGAAAATGTCCCTGCACTGTACTGTTGGAAATGGGGACCATGGCCCTGACCTCTACAGGTCAAGAAGTCAAGAAGGTGAATGGCGGTAAAATCTACCGCATACTGATGGGAACCATGAAGGTACAGCTGAAAAGCAAGGTGCTGAGTGTAAAGCACAAACGCCTTGAAGCCAGACACAAACCTGAAATCTCAGTTTTCTCACATGTGCAGTGGCGATAAAAACCTGTAATATTTGTGAGTATTAAAGGAACTAACATTCAGAAGGTGCTTGGCAGAGGGCCTGGCATATAAGAAATGTTTGATAGGGGCTGGGCTTGGAGGCTCACGCCTGTAATCTCAGCACGTGGGAGGCTGAGGAGGGTAGATCACTTGAGGTCAGGCGTTCAAGACCAGCCCGGCCAACAGAGTGAAACCCCATCTCCACTAAAAATACAAAAATTAGCCAGGCATGGTAGCCCATGCCTGTAATCCCAGCTACTCAGGAGGCTGAGGCAGGAGAATTGCTTGAACCCAGGAGGCGGAGGCTGCAGTGAGCCAAGATTGCACCATTGTACTCCAGCCTGAGTGATTAGAGACTGTCTCAAAAAAAAAAAAAAAAAAAACACAAACCATAAGTGTTCAAGTTGGATAAATGATAGCTGCTAAGATTCACCATGGTTATAGTTTATCATGTGAGATTCACTAGATCCGAAGGTAGAAGTAATAGAACTTTCCTGCTTTAGGTAGCCCTCCTGCCTAGTTAAGAAAAAGAAACACAAATAAGCCAAGAGCTGGGAGCAAGCAGTGAAGCAGAGTGACTGCTCAAATCCCTGACCATGGCCCATCATAAGCAGCTGTTCAGTGTGTGGGCCTCTCACCTGTGCCTTAAGGAAGGAAGAGAACTTGTGTCCATTGGGCACTGTGAGCAATGTGCTGTTTATAGATGTGATCTCAGGTAATCATTGCCTCATGGCAACACTGGAGGGACTTAATTTACATCATTTTACAGATGAGGAAATAGAAGCTTAGAGATGAACTGACTTGCCTGAGGTCACACATCCAGGAATAGTCCTGGAGTTAATGAAAGTTGGATCTGTCAACACCACAGCCCTTGCGTTTGCTGCAAACATCAATCACACTGTCCCCCAGAAGAAAATGCCTAAGCCCTTCTAACACCGTTAAATCAACTTTTGAAAGTTGATTTGGGAAAGGAACAACAACAAAAAAACTAAACATTGTTTGAAGTTAAATTAGAATTAGGGACAAACATGATTCACAAACGCATCAGATAGAGTACTCAAAGATTTCTATTTTGAGGAATTTACCTCTGTGTTCCAGGCTAAAATGAACAGAGAAGGGGCAGGCTGTCTTTGCCAAAGGAAATCGGGCACTGCCTCTACAAGGCTGGTGACTTGAAACCAAACTCTGACCATTGGCATCTGAGTGGCTTCATTGCTGCCAAGAGGTGGTGACTCTGTTTCTAAGAATACAAAGTACTACAGAAGGTGCCCTGGAGACCACAGCATTGAAACAAACAGACCGCCCTCTACCCTTCATTCAACCTGGGTAGGTCAGAAATCCCTCTGCCCACAAATCCAAAAGGCTAAAAGGAAGAAATCTGTATGTTTGGGTTCAAGTTTTAATGAAATTAATTCTAAAAACCATTTGGTGAGGCTCTAACTACTTCCAGTCTTGCCAATTCTCCT